CTAGGTTGTTTTACCTTGGGTAAAACTTTATTTCATATCACTCTTCAAAGTACAGAGGAATTTAACAAGAAAGCAAATGAACGATTATCTCAAATGCCGGTGTGCGAAGATGGAAATAAAACAAGCCAACAAGAGCTAACAAATGATGAGACGAATGAACTCTTTAAATTTGTAACCAAATATTTTTTAAAAGACCATTTAAAATCTGTTCCACTTGCCAACAAGAGCTATTACAATATTTTTGTTGCATAGGTGGTTCCACTTAAAGAAGGACAACATTATGGTATGAATTCAGTTATGGAGTGTAGTGAACTCTCAATATCGTTTACTCCGAATCCTATTACTACAACTCTTTAATCAACATTACAATCGATCCAAAAAGAGCTTCAAGCGACAACAGAAATAGTCTCGCAACAAAAAATAAATTTTGAACCGCGGTTTAAAGTTTTTGGAGAACATTTTTTTTTAGAAAACCGACTTTAAGTTCAATATTAATTGTTTGGTATTTTGTTATTAACTACTTTTTAATCACAAAACTAGTCTTAGTTTCAGTATTAATCTTTTGGTATTTTGTTGATAACTACTTTAAAATGTTAAATATTAATTTTGCTCTTTCATCGGTTATCTTAATTTTCATTTATTAATAGAAATTAACAATGTATATACCTGTTAATAATTAATGACATATAAATTGTCGTTACTGTGTTCATAGATAAAGACGTGTTTTTCATGTTATGATATCGCTAATTAACAACATATATATAGATATGTCGATAATTGGCGAAAATGTAGGTGTTGTTAACTCACAACAACAACATATTTTACGCCGGTACTTAAAGATACTTTAATGACACATTTAAGCAACATCGTTATTTAGGAACATATAAAGACATAAACTTAATAAAGACACGTGATTAACGAAGTGTTCGCTAGTTTTCGTTCATATATATGTCGCTTACGGTAATTAACGAGGGTTTCAGTTGACGTTAGTTGTATGTTTTCTTGTAGGGAATTGATGTTATTTTAAATATATTGTTTAGAGTTGGTGAAGATAAAAATAAATACGGGATGTTAGAGAATTTATTCAACTTTGACGAAAGAGTATTTAACTTTTAAAATCCGGTTCAACTTTTTATGGTTATCTATTGTGCCAATTATTTGATCCTTAATATAAAAAAACAACATTCGAAGAAAAGCAACAAGATTTTTGTCGAAAATGGTAGATAAATAAATATATTATAAAATTAAAAAATTGTTGGGGAAATTGCAAATATGCCACTTTTTATGTGCACATTTGCAAAAAAAAACCATTTATGGGTGTTCATTTGCAAAAATGCCACTAATTATAGATTTTTAAACCTTATATCTTAAAATTCTAAACACTAAAAAATGTTTTGACCCCTAAAGCCCGCCTAAACCCTCGTAACTAAACCCTAATAGAACATAATTAACCCAAACATAAATAATATAAAAAAATTGAAAAGTCATATTTTTGTAAAGATTTCAAAAGTGTAGTATTTTTGTAAATTGATACTTGAAAAGTGGCATTTTTTAAAAATTTTCAAAATTGTTTAATGTTTGTTGCTTTTTGAAACCATACAGTCACTCTATATTTTCCTAAGATACCAATTGTTCATGGTTTAGTTGGCATTTTAAAACATCTCAAATTGTCTTTGTTCAAGACTAAGAGATTAAACCTTATTGCTTCAAGCTTGGATAAACCAATGCTTATCAAAACATTATTTATATATCCCACTTTCTCACAACCTAAATCACACCAAAATCCCGAACTATGACAGCCACAACCACAAGCTTCATTTTGCCTTCGAAATTTTCAAATTTGTTGAGGAAACTAAACCAACTAAAATGATTAAAAAGTTTGCCGCGATAACAGCACTAACGACCGTAAGGATCCGTCTCTTTCATTTTCAAATTATCTAGATCCCGACTAAATATGAGAATATTGAATTTAATCCCACTGAACCACCATAGCGGAAGCAATTACTTTGAAAATCTTATTATTTTAAAATATGTTAAATGATTTAATTGAAAATTTTATTATTTTGAAATATGTGACATAATTTAATTGAAAA